AGAAAAAAGGAGAGTCAGAGAATTCCAGAACTGGAGGACAACTTCAAGATGTTCTGGTCCAAGCCTCCTCATTGGTCATGCATGGGGGCTGGGAACGAGACAAGTGACTTGTTCAGTGTCAAAGGGTCAGCTGTGGCAGAGAGGACAGGAACCCTGACCCCCCAGTTCCTGACCCTGCCTGGTCCCTCGGGCCTGTGGTTTGGCACTTGGCTCTTTAGCCAGGTTAACCTGCCAGCCTCCACCTCATCTCCTGGCTCTCAAGATACCAACGAATCCTTCTGTTTCTGGGATTTTGACTCTTTCTGCCTCTGTTCTTTATTTCCTCCTTCCTTCCTCTGAATTCACCCGCCCTTTGGTTTCCTACAGTCTCTCTGCCTTCCTTGGCCCCAAGCTCCAGCAGCCCTGTCGGCCTTGCCTACCTTGTGCCATGGTGGTGACCTCTGGTTCCCGGGCTGCTCCGCACAGAACAGCTGGACGGCCTGCAGCTTCAGGAAACTGGTGCTGGAGTGTCTGCTTCCCCTTCCATCCCCAGGACTTCAGGAGACACCGAAGGCAGGGTGGCGGCTGTGCTGCCGCCTGCCTACTGGGCAGATCACAACTGGTTTTCTCACTTGCCCTCCGGTTTTTCTTGGCAATGTTGCTGGGCTAAGAGGATGTGTGGAGGCCGAGGAACTGCCAGGGCCTTGTGCCATGTGGTCCTGTTGGGCAATGGAGCATTCCCTGGCTGGTGCTGTGCTGTGGTGGGGGAGACAGTGGGGAGAGGTGAGCTGAGGGGGCTTCTAGGGGCACAGAGGGGGCCTGTGTCCCTGCAGGAAGGAGTATCAGGATCCCAAAAAGAGAGCTCACAGTTGAGAGAGCTGTCACGCTGAGACCTCTGCTTGGCGCGCTCTCTTTTATCCTGAAGAGTCACATTCTGGACATCAAATGTAGGCAGAACCTGCTCTGGATCACCTTGGGGTGATTTGCTGGTATTTGTTTTTTTGGTGAAAATATTGTCTTAAGTAAGATTTGCCAGGTCCACAGTGAATCTCAGGTAAAAGCAATAGGGAAAGAATACTTGGGAAGATTCCTGGAGGAGTTTTGGAAATAGATGAGAGGGTGTTGC